TTTAGATTGCCTGGTTAATACCATAGCGCAAATGGCAGGGCTGGTATTTACACCTCCAAGCCTTCTAATTATGGCCATCACTCTTTAAGGCCTTTGATAGCCTGTACAAAACATTTCCTGTCCCCTCCTACACAAAAAATCGCAAGAGGTAGTGAAAAAGAAGCATGTACATATATTATATATATTAATATATATATTACATATATACATATTACTAATATAATAAATTTGAGGAAAAGTTGTTGCTTCCTCTCCATCTCCACCGCCCTCCCATACTGTGGAATAGTGAGACTCCCCGAGTTCTCCTTACTGGAGAAAACCATTGCACAGAAAGATGTAAGTAACTGGGGGAAGACACCCAATAGCTCCCATTTGCTAGTAAAATAATCACTATTTAACTGTGATACGCTAAATGACTCTTCCAAAAGATGTTTGCAGATTGTACTGCTTCTGTTCTTTGCAGCATCCTAACCAACGCCCTCTTTTTTTAAATTTTATTATTATTTTTTATTTTGGTATCATTAATCTACAATTATAGATAGAACATTATGTTTACTAGGTTCCCCCCTTCACCAAGTCCCCCCCCCCACATACCCCTTCACAGTCACTGTCCATCTGCATAGTAAGATGCTGTAAAATCACTACTTGTCTTCTCTGTGTTGCACAGCCCTCCCCCTGCCCCCCATGCACTATACATGCTAATCGTAATGCCCTATTTCTTTTTCCCCGCCCTTATCCCTCTCTTTGCACCCATCGTCCCCAGTCCCTTTCCCTTTGGTAACTATTAGTCCATTCTTTGGTTCTGTGATTCTGCTGCTGTTTTGTTCCTTCAGTTTTCCTTTGTTCTTATACTCCACATATGAGTGAAATCATTTGGTACTTGTCCTTCTCCGCCTGGCTTATTTCACTGAGCATAATACCCTCTAGCTCCATCCATGTTGTTGCAAATGGTAGGATCTGTTTTTTTCTTATTCTGCCCTCTCATTTTAAGACAGTGCTCTCACCAGGAGTCCAGGTGCCACACATCCATTCAAGTTACCTTAGAGTACAAGCATCTATGTTAAAATTCTTCTTGAAGAGTTTTCTTTTTCAGGCCTCAACACTACCACTATATTATCTGTATTATTAAAACATGTTGAGGTACTTGCTTTGTCAAGTACAATATAGCTGATTAACCCAGGCTACAAGAAGGTATCAAGTTTGCATTTTCTTTCCAATATCTTCATTGATTTTTAAGTATCCATGGCCACTTAATTTTTGTGAGTTCAAATAAGTTTTGTGGGTTTAAATAACACTAAGTACTATACTATAAAAACTTTTTTCAGTTTCTATCTTTAATTAAACATTAGTACTAGTTGCCAAGCAACTAAGTTTGAGGATACTGAAAACACAATCTCCAGAGAAACATGGCCAAACCAACAATATTAACCACTAACCACTACAATAATGGTTTATTATTATTGTTATTTTATGCTTTCTATACCTTTGTGTTGCTAACTGGAGATTAAATCTCCAAAATTAGAATACCCATCTTCATGAACAGTTAAAGAGCATCTTTATGCATGTAAAAACAAGAAGGCTGACTGTCTTTCATCTTTTCAGTGAAACACAAAATAGCAGCTTTGAAGATACTTAGGCAGTTTTCTGTTGCTATTGTTAATGGGCCACTTATAGTTTGGGTTCCTAAAAGTAGGAAGGGACCCATTTTTAATAGTTTTTTTTCAGCCATGCTATTTATGCAGTATTTAACTATTAACAAAGAACTATATCAATCACACAAATTCCCTAGGACACTGTTAACGAGTACTGTCACTATTGTTCACTGGTCTGCCTACATGTTGAATTTTATGCAGGTGGCTACAAGTCCATCACAGTTGTGAAGAAATGAACTACAAGCATAGTCTGCTAAAAGCCACACCAACATTTAAGTTGTAATCCAACCTAACATTTACTGGAAAATCCAAATCACACAGGAGAACTCCAGAAACGTCACTTTAAAAAATAACAGAGATGTTGAATTTTCCATTTTCCTAAAATTTACAAATTAGTATATTCTAATAAGTTTGTGGACTTGTCACCTCAACTACTAAAATCATAAACATGGTATGTCACTAAACAGTCGCTGGACCTGGTCAACTTGAAAGCATGTAATATAAAATTTGCATTAAAGCACATTTTACCTATAAACGTCATTAGTTTTAAAGTTTTTTTTTAAAGAGAAGCGGCAGAATCTTAGGTATCGGATACAAGTCTTGAAATGTCAGGAACACTACTATTCTGAGCTAGTCTACTCAATTCTAGTAGAAAAAAGTTTAGAAAGAAATTAGCTATACTTTCTCCATTTAGTATAGATGGTCCTTAGTAGTATGATTTCTGAGTAATTAGAAATTACACGTGTCTAAAAGGTTACTTATGGGGCAATAAAAGGCTGCCACACCAATTTTCCCTTTCGATTCCCAGAGTACAGCTTCCACGTGGTTCACCACTGGGGTAGGTGCCCTCGCCTCGCCGGGCCGGGCCCCCTACCCTTCGGGGGCGGGGCCAGCGCCCAATCACGTGGGTGACGCGCGGCCGCCATTTTCCCTGGCGGGGGGAGGGGCGGAGCTTTGCGGGAGGGGTGCCTGAGCGCCGTGGGCCGGTCCGTGGCGCCGCGTGACTGCGGGGCCTTGGGGCGCCTCCCTGCAGACTCCGAAGTGGGCCCCTCCTTTCCGAGGGCGCATGGCTGGGAAAGCAGAGGAGCCGCGGAGTGGGACCGCAGCCGGCCGGGATTGAAATAAACCACCCTCATCATCTGCCTCTGGAGTGACAGCTTGAGAGCAGCCAGCTCCGAGCAAATACCTTCAAGGCCAGAACAAGTCACGGCGGAGGGCCTCGGAGTGCACGCTAACAAGCAGAAAGCGTGGGAGGGTGGGTGGGGGATCACAATTTAATGGGACGTAAATGATTTGCTAGAATAACCCTAAACAATCACTGTTGAAAAAAAGTTCACACCACCAGCGGCTGAAAATACCCTTCAGCGTAATGACCTGTAGTACCTGTATCCCCTGATTTATTCCCCGACTTCAACTGATGGCCAAGCACTGGGCACTGCCTTGAGGAGTAATGATGTGCTCAAATTAATGCCAGGATGCCCAGTCACTTTGCTCACTCCTCCCTGTCTGCCAGAAAAGGCCACACACACTGCAGTCAAGACAAAAATCTCATTATTGACTTGCACGCATCTCTCCCCTTCATCTATTCTCCTTCCAAAACTCACGTAACATGCAAAATTTAAGGAAAAAAGACTAGCACTTAAAATCAGAAATCGGTTAACTTTGTTGGCATATGAATGGAATGATATAAACTATTCCGTTGTGGGACATTTCCATTATACCTATAATTTACGGTTATCTTTACAATCTGTACTATAACAAAAATATTTTTATAGGATAAATAAATATTGCTCCAGAGTTCAGGATTTCTTCTCTAAATTCAATAGCAGGGACAGGGCTTTTTGGAATTATTTGGTGAGCAGGCTGAAGAGTGGTAAGGGCTTTTATTACCACCAGTATACACAGTCCCCTGCTAGTAGTAAACAGACAATGAAAAATAACATTTCAAGCTCACCAAGAAAATACTGGTTCCTAGCGGTACTACATCTGAGTTTGGTAAAATATGTCCTAAAATGTGAGTTAGAGACTTCTGTTAGAGACAGACGCTTCTTTTAAAAATGAGGGGCTTAGCCTGGATTATCGCTTAATCTCTTTCAGCCCTCAAAGTCCTTGATTTTAGATTGAGTCCTTCCAGTCATTAGAGAAATACAATGCCCTGTTTTAGTTTCAGGGAACTGGATGACAGCAGGTATGTAAGTTAACTTTCTAGCAAGAGAGGGAAAAAAAGTCCCCTTTTTCAGTAGATCATCCTGGAGGTCACCTAAATTGAAAAGCATGACATCCAAGTTAAATACCATTTAAGTAACTGAATCACGAAAATAAACTCCTGTACATAGTTTTTCCTCTTACTGAAACCTCCTCCCTTCACCTCCATTAGCTTGTCACGCTCAAGGACTTTATATTAGGCCTAGATTATTAAATTACTTTCATGACTTTATAAAACTTTCACCTTCTTTAATGTTTGCGGTGACTCATCTGGATTCTTGTCTGCTACATTTTGGTGTTTATTAACTTTTCAGAAAACAACATTTATGCCTATAGTAAAGGCCCAACAAATATCCCGGACCCAAATCTGTAGGCACGACTCAAGCTCATTAGAAAGGTTATACTAGAGGTAAAGGGTCTAACTGCACGGCCCTAGGAGAGGTTTCTTTCCCCAGACAACCTGCGCTATTACTTATCTAATTTGAGTCAATTCGCACAAATCCACATCAGAACGTCAAGGTCTCTGGGCAGGAGCCAAAAGACCCTACGACCCCTTTTAACTCAGCCTTTTAACACACCGAGCAAAAAAGCTCCTTAATGCCGAAGACGAGGGCAGGACCAGGAGCGCACCTTTAGCACACCTCACGGAGGAGGGAGGGTGAGCTTTAAAACGTGTAACCAGAGTGCCAGACGGCAGGAAAGGGAACGCACTTGCCCGGGGCCAGACTGGCTGACACTGTCTCCTCTAGCGCTTCGCCCTTTCCAGCACCTGAGGCCTGGGATGCTCAAAGCCAAAAATACCTGAGACCCTTCATCCAAAAGGGGGATCAGGCTGAGAGCAACCCTGTTTACCGTGGCAATTCCGGCACGGAGGAGACTTCTAGAGCATTCTGTTATGGCGGGTGCCTGTGTGTGCAAAGGGGCGGGGGGGGGGGGGGGGGGGGGGGGGGGGGGGGGGGGGGGGGGATATGTGGGGAGTGGAATTGAGCGGTCCAGCAAAACGGCTATTCGTACTACGCGGCTGGGAGCCGTGGCGTGGGGATTCCGAGCATCTGCGCCGGGGTGAGGCTCGGCCAGGGCCGGCCGAAAGCCTGGCCGGGGACGTGACCGCACCGCGGGTGCTGGGAGGCATGCGCGCCTTACCTGAGCCCTGGGGCCGGCAAAGTTGCAAGGCTCCACCTCCACCTCCGCGTCCTCGAGGCCCCCGCGGAGCGCGGTGCGGAGCCTCTCCAGGTGCTCCCTCAGGGTGACCCGCTGGTGGAAGGAGAACGCCGGGTGCAGCGAGGCCATGGTGAAGAGCAACAGCAGCTCCTCTCGGGCCCTGAAGCCCAGCCCACCGCCGGGCCGGGGCTCGGCGCCACTGCCTTCCGGGCTGGAGCCGTCCTTCTCGGCGTCGTCCCCGCCGTCGCCGTTCTCGTCCTCCGTGCCGCCCCGCGAGCCCTCGCCCCGGACCGCGCGCAGGCTCTTGAGCACCGAGTCCACCTGGGGTAGGAGGCGGTGCAGGCGGCCGGCGGCCTCACGGTTCTCTGAGCCCAGCAGTGCCAGGTAGACGATGAGGCGCGAGCGCACGGCGGGCTCCCGGAAGTCGGCCAGCGGCCCTGGGTCCGAGAGGCCGTTGGCCTTGGCCTCCGAGTCGCGCAGGTAGTGGTAGTCCTTGCGCGCAAGGTCCTCCAGGCACGAACCCAGGAAACGCAGCTCCAGCGGGTTGCACAGGTCTAGCAGCCCGCACATGAACTCCAAGCGCTGCGCCGAGCCCAGCACCAGCCCGAACCACTCGTACACTCGCTCCTGCTCGCGTAGCGCCGCCGCGGGCCCGCCGCCGCCACCGCCGCCGCCCGGCATGCCCGCCCCCACCGCCGCTCCGCCAGCAACAGGCGGTCCGAGTCCCCGGGAGGGCGGCGGCGGCGGCGGCGGTTGGGGGCCCCGTTGCGGGCCTGCGGGCGGCGGCGGCGGTGGGCGGCAGTCGCGGCGGCGGCGCGGCGGGGCCTTTGCGCCCGACCGCGAGTCTGCCTCGGGCTCCTCCACTTGGGGCGGCGGCTCCGCGGGGTGCGTCGGCTTCAGCGGCAGCTTCATCCTCAGCATCCTCAGCTAAGGCGGCGCGGACATGCGAGCGGGGGCGGGCGGGAGGAGCCGGGAGGAGGGGCCGGAGACGAGGCGGCGGCGCGGCCGTCAAGAGCGCGGCCCGTCCATGCCGCCGGGGAGGGCCGGGGCCGGGTCTCGGACGGAGAGGGGGGCGGTGGCCGGCTGGCCGGGTCGCGGGCTTAGTCTTCCCGGGCCGGAGGCGGGGCGTGCCCGCGGCGGCTCCTCCCCTTGGACTCCGCGCCGGCTCTGGGTACCCCAGGTGCGGGTGCGAGCGAGCGAGCGAGCGTGTCCTCCTTCCGCCTCCCTCTTTCCGGTCGTCCGCACTGAGCTGGGGCGGCGGCACCCGAGCGGTTCCTCGCGAGCCGGTGGGGACCAAGAGGCTGGGAGAAGAGGAGGAGCGGCCGGGCCTGGCGGAGACGGGGCGGGCTCCGCGCTGGCGCTTCAGCCAATCAGTGGCCGAAGCCGACGGATGCGTAGCTCTCCCGCCCCAAGGGCCGCCGCTCTCGGAGAAGCCCCGCTCAACTGCCACCAGGCCGCCTCCCTCTCGGCCGCTTCCGCGCAGCCGTAAGGCCTGGTGGCCGCCGGCTCTGGCCGCACAACAGCGGGGCGGCGGCTAGGTGTGCCGGAGCGCGGCGTGTAGCGTGCGAGCAGGAAGTGGGGAAAGTTCGCCTTTCCTGAGGCCCTAGCCCGGCTTTGGACCGCTGACTCCCCGCTCGCGTGGGGCGCCGCCCGGGTTACTGCGCGGCGGCACTGGACGCGTCCCGGGAGCCGGGTTTCCTCGGAAGCGAGCCCGCTGACCCCGAGATGGGCTCTTCTAGTTCTCCACACCCTGGCCGACTTCGTGGAAGTCAGCAGTGGGGCTAATGTCCGCCAAAACTTTGCACGGGTCGGTGGAGCTGCCTCACGTGCTGGTCCGAGATCGGGGTCGGGAGGCAGGGTGGCGGGCGGGGCGCCGACCCCCAGGGGTTCCGCGGCCTCCGGGTCGGCGGGGTCGCGCGGACGGCCCCGCCCTAACGGTTGCCTCTGGTCTGTAACGCTCTTTGGAAATTATTTCTACGATAAGTTTAGGAAAAGCCCCTTCAAAGCCTTCATCTTCTGGGAATCATTTTATTTGCCGATTAACGTTTTTGTACCTAACATTCTGAGTCCTTGTGGCCGGTGTGAATACTTATGACACGAGGAACTTATCACCTTGACAGGCTTTAAACTTTTTAAAAATTTTTAATTGTTACATTTTTAAGGTTTGAAGACTTCCAAAATGTCTCTCTTGGCCTGTTGCCTTTTTTTCCCCCCATGTAGTCCAGATTTTTAAAACTCAGGTGGATCTTTTGAGGGTTAATTTTTAAAAGGTGTGCTTTAAAAAAATCCTTAATGTTTTAAACTAAGAAGCCCTACTACAGCTGTATAATAGGAGTACATAGAAGAAAAAAAAATTCCACCACAATTCTTTCTGAAAATGTTTGGCCGTCTTTCCCACAACTTTATGCCCCAAGAAGCTAATTTATAATTCAGTCAAAGGCTTAACTGAAGCCAGATCAGTTTCAGCAATAAAAGGGGGAGACAAATATTTTTAACATATTTGAGATTGGCCAAATATATGAAAGTTATTCTTTCATGTAGTTCGCTATTCCCTTGCATTTCTTGGGTGTAATCTAGAAATCATTACAATCAGGAGTAAACTTTTTAAGGACTTTTTTATTAACAATCCTTGCCTTTCCCCGGAGCCCACCCCTGCCTTTTTTTGTTACCCTCAACTGCCCCGGAATCTTCTACTCTATCCCCTCTCCTATTCCCACCTTTCTAAAGCTTAGGCTGAAATGCTTTAGGCAACCAGTATTATTGATCTTGCTAGATATTCACAGGTCCACCTTGAGTCACCTGTCTCATCAGGATATCCTGGAATAAGCTCTGAGGTGATTTTTACTTGTGACCCAGGTGAAAAGGTCTTTACATTTTCCTTGGCAACAAAAAGCCATTTGGTATGAACTCTCCATGATACTTGGTCCATAAATTTTACATCAGAAATCAGATTTGTAATTGACTTATCCCTCTGTCTTTGACCAATATTAGAAAATGCAGTGATTAGAGCTCCTACACATACATGGCATATGTACTATGATTTGATGATTCTGGTTATTATCCATCAGCTGGACAATTTCCTCTTTACCCTCCAGTGCATTGTTTCAAAGCCCTCCCTCCGTACTGCAGTTTCGACCAGGCCTCAACGTTTTTTCCACCCTCTCATAACTAAGAGAACATTCATTCAGTAAGAGGGACACACTACGCCAGTGCTTTTCAGGGAGAGGCCCAGATGGAAATTCCAGGATGAGGTGTAGGTGTATTTAGTTGGGAAAAACTACCCAGATTATTCTGATAAAATGCCCTAGGAAGGTATTCCTCCTGCTGGGCCTACCTATTGTTGAGAATACCTGCTCTGTATTCTCTGTTATTTTCTATATTCCCTGCATCATCATCCAGATGGGCAGACCTGCCATAAGGGAGGGTGTGTGTTTGTATCCAAATCTTTCCTAAGGGGATAACATCCTTGTAAAAGACATCTTTTACAGGGACATAAAGTGCTATTGTCTGTTGTCACTAGAAGATATTTAATGCATACTCAATACACTTTATGTGCCTCTTTAACAATGAAAGATGGTATTATTGACATTGCTGTCCAAATATTTAAATGTAACCTGATGACTGGTTTCAAGTTAAGGTTGTGCTTTGGATTAGGACAGGAGCCAGTGACTGAGGAGTGAGGAGACTTCGCCACCCTCTTTTGCAACTGGGTTACTGCAAGAAATTTAGCTGAAACCACAGTTAATTGAATGGTTCAGAGTAGACAAATAGTGATGTCCACTCCATAGGAAAGCTATCTAGGACAGCCACTTCCACCACAGATGATAAAAGCAGCCGATCTGATCCATACCAAAAATTTGTTCTCTCAGTCCCTGTGAATATTCCTCTATTCGCTCCTCCTCCCAGTAAGGCCTCCCTGATGTTTCCTCCATGAGAACACAATTATCTTAATGTCAGTGACCACATTTTATCCAATTTTATATTTTGACAGCTCAAATATGGTGAGTGTGATTAAATGCTTGCAGAATAAATGAAATGAATGATGCTCCAGGAGTCAAAAGGAACTGCCAGCACCTCCTGGGGTCACCTGAATCTTTGTTCATATGGTAGGGAAGAGAAAAATCTGCTTCCCAACATTGCCAGAGTAGTCCTGAGATTGGTTCTAACTGAACTGGCTTAGGTCACATGCCCATTATTAATCATTCACTGGAGCCAGAAAAGGGGAGTTGGCTTCTTCAGAACCATGTGAGTCCTACAAAAAAATTGGGGCTGGTGGAAACATGGAAGCTGGGAAAACACGTGTCCAATGTCATACTTATAATCTAGTTTTGGTAACTTAAGTCATGGGTTTAAGGTACCTCAAAAACTTTTGTTTAGTTAGAACACGTATTTTTGTTTGGTTAGATCACACACTTCGGAGAGAGATTAAATATTAAATTGTTTCTGGAGATTACAATTAAAAAGCTGGTCTAAAGGTCTTAAAAACAACACAGGTAAATTATCAGTTGACAGACAAGGAAAAAATTACATATTTAAAATTAAGAAGGTTTTACAAGATACCCTATGACACAGATTTGAGATAAAAATCATCAGTGTTGACACTGTGACAGTATTTCATTGGTAAGCTGGGAATCCATGCCAACGCTGGTATATGGCACTTTTTCTGGAAGACTAGCATGGAATTAAATTCAGATTCTCCCTGGAGTTGTGGTTCCATTTGTCAGAAAGGTTCTTAGGGACTTAGATTAACTAGGCTGCTCAAGTTCTCTTACTTGTTCATTGAACGTTTTGGAAAAACCCTGAAATCCACCAATCTTTGAAGCCTGTCCAGAAATGAACTTGATTCTAAAATGGGTTGGTTTGAAACATCCTCAGGCTACTGGCTTGTGTTAGAAATTAAGGAACTGGATGATCTTAGGCACTTGCCTGGTTCTATGGAATGTCTGCAAAGAGACCTTTTGCTCAACTGTTCAAAAAGGCAAGAACTGTCTCCCCAAAATGACAGCACTGCCTTTTAGAGATCAGGGATTAAAGTCCTGGAAATTTGGCTTACTAGACAGAAGATAACCACTGCTGCAGCAGTGTTCTCTGAAATGGAATTTACTGAAATCATGTACTTCTTTGAATATATGGTTACACCAAGTTATTGGTGCTTTATTGATTGTCAGCCCAGCTTAAACCCACCATCTCTTACCCTTCCACTTTTATAAAAGAAGCCTGATTTTTTTTCTCCCAAGTATCCAAGCTTCTCCTAAAGACCTGTGTGGCCTGGAGAATACCTTTGCAAGCTCTGTGGATAAATCTTGACCAGTAACACAGTCACAATAGCCCATACTTCTTGCCAGTTGGTTCAGAAACAATGATTGGGATATGTCAAAAGGACACATCAGCCAATAAATTCTTCAAAATAGATGCCTGTGGGGATTCCCACTCCAAATCTAGTAGAATTGAGTATCAAAAAGAATATGATGGAACAAGTGAATAAAAAAAGAATCTGAGTCCACAGGGAGTCTCATAGAAAAAGGGGTGGAGGAGGGTGCAGAGAAAGCTCTTCTTTACTGAAGAAAGCCAACTAAAAATGTAGAAGGAAAGTATGAGGAAACTATCATTTTGCAACCACTAAATGTAGTAATCAATTCAGGCATTTTCACCACTGATTGCAAAGTTGGAAAAGGAAAGATCCACATGTTCTCAAAATAACACCTCAATTAAAAGGGGGGAAGGTACTTTTTTACATGGACAAATCTGACAGATACCTTAACTGTGTAGTCACAATTAGCATCTCCACTAATGGGACAATCTAATGCTAGATGCTTCCTCAAATCATGGATGTCATTGGAAGTACACACTATTTGCAGTATTCTTGCTGAAACTGTTACACTGAATCTAATCATGAGGAAATAGGAAAAATCTGGATTGTGGGACAACTGGCCTGAATCTTAAAAAAAAATCCATGTCACAAAAGCAAACATAGGCAAGGGACTATTCTGGATTAAAGAAAATGAAAGAAACGTGTCAACTAAATGCACTTCATGAAATCTATGATTGGATCCTGAGCTTTAAAAACTCAAAGATAT